ACATGTCCACCCTCAAAGGAGTGGTCGCTACATGTGACCACCCAGCCCGGAGGCCTTAGTCATGGTGGATTTTTGTCTTCGAAATTTTTGTCTTCGAACACATGCCCACCCTCAAAGGAGTGGTCGTTACATGTGACCACCCAGCCCGGAGGCCTTAGTCATGGTGAATTTTTGTCTTCGAACTGCTCGAACACTTCGACCTGCCACTGTGGTCGACAAGGAAACACACCAAAGACCACGAGACCGAATAGTAATTGATCATTTTCGTTAGTCTCCTCCAATGAATAGTTATATCGAACAAGATATAAAAATAAAACGAATCAAGCATTTTTTCGACCTCCCTTTCATGTCTGTACACGACGACCTGAGTTGTTGTTTGCTCCACGCTTCCCACTCCTCACCATAGCTAATATTCAGGTCACCTGCTCATGCATTTTCCTCGAATAATTCAACTGATTCCATTAGTTGCATTTTATCCATATCATCTAATTTGCAATCTCGATAGCAATAATAACAAAAGACGAATGAATCAAAGCAATCATTGTTAGAGTAGGGTACCCGACGTTCCAATCTGATTGGACGTATTCTACTTGTAAATACGATCTATTGGAATTATATTGTAAATAAGGCATTACTTTATCTTAAGAGTANATGCAAGACTCTTTACCAGGATATGAAATCGTATAAACACCCATTCAAATGTATAGTCGACCAGAATTTCGCAAAACCATGAATTCGAAAAGCAATTACAACAAACCACACTCTGCAGCTACAATCAATCATTAAACGAATGCACCAAGCAAAAATTCGAATGAATTACTTCCCATACCGAGCTCCCTAGTCATGACGACTCGAGACTGGCCAGCCCAAAGGCCTTAGTCGTGCCAGATTTTTGTTTGAGGCCCTACATACACCTTATTTTCTGCATTGTGTTAGTCACACAAATAATAGTCCAAACATATCCATATACACCACAATTTCAACAATATTTCGCCCAGGATATTCAAACAATGAACATTACTCCAAAAAAGAATGCTAAGAGACTCCACATGCCACAAAATAGTGTCAGTCGATCTTGACCATTGACAAGAGTTGAGATTAATTTTATACCTGAAGGTCGAGAATGTGGCTCCCCATCACCATACCTCTCCAGAAAAGAATGATTTCTGCCTTTGCAATTGCCACCTGTGATCGGCACAATCTAGACTCGTACCTCCTTAACACCCTGCTTTGATGGATCCATGCTCGCTCATTTTGTCCTCGAAACTCCACAACTCGTCCACTATAGCTTGTCAAGACTCGGGTTATTTCGGTATTTCCTCGACAAGAATTCAAAGAGATATCGTTATCCATATTATATTCACGTCATCTATTTTGCAATTCTCCACGCAAGAAAAATAAGAGATCAAATACAATCATCACCATCTCCTTGATTTAAGACATGCTCGAGCAATGACATGCTTAAAAATTGTGAATAATCAATTCGAATAAAATTCCACATTTTCACGTGAGAATCCAGATGAAAGGCTACGAATATATCAAATATAAAATTATATAATTTTAATCCATCCCTCGAGCCCGTCGATAAATGCACCGAATGCACGATAAGCACCATCACAAGATATCCACAATCCGAAACCACGACCCACATGTATTTTTAATCAAATAATTCCACAAATAAATAAAATACCTCCACGAATAAACCAAATGATATCTCCTCGAACAAGTCAAATATCTCCAACAATGCATCATATAATATCTCCGCGAATAAACCGAATAATTCTCCTCGAACTAATTAAGTGGTGCTCAACAAATAACTCCAATATTACTCCACAAATAAATCAAGTAATCCTCACGAATATATCAAAATCTCCACGAATATATCACATATTCTCCATAAATAAATCACATAATACTTCACCAATAAATCAAGTAGGCTAAGCTAAATCAAATAATTTTTGCCCGAATAGATCGAATATACTCTCCACGAATAAATCGAATAAACTCCATTTTTCCCAATTAAAAAATTCTCAAGCCCATTATTTAAATAAATATCATACCTCCATCACGAGATTCTATCTCAAATTACCTCACCATCCATGTTGAATTGTCCTGAAATAGCTTTGGGCTCGAACCGGGGTTGTTGGACTATTTTTGTTTGAGCTGGAGGGGGTTTGAACACAAAATAGGCCACTCATGAGCTATTGGGCTGCGCTGGAGGGGTTTACACGCGCAATGGGCCTCGCTGAGGGAGGCTGAACATAAACGGGCCGCGCTGGCTGGATTGGGCCGCGCGCTGAGGGTTGCTGGGCCATAGCTTTGAGCTTGGAAGAGGGTTGAGCACCACGGGCTGGGGGACGGGCCGCTCGCGGGCCTAGCGCGGGTTGAACAAGCGATGGGAGCGGGTCGCGCGGGCTGGACGCGGCCCGCGGGCTTCTCTTCTTCTCCTATTGTGCTTCGCGTAATTGGGCCGCGCAAACAGCTGGGCCACAGGAGCTGGGTTTCTCCACTGGGCTCTCTCATTGGACCTTCTCCTCAGGCTGGACGCGGGCTGCTGGAAGGATACCGGGGCCTGGAAAATTGGGCTGAGTGCACAGCAGCTCAAACTCGCCGGGAAAGGAAGTTTCGCCGGAAAAGAAAAGATCGCCATCCAAAGCTAGCCGGCTCTGGCGACGGAGACCATCCGAGGGTGCGCCCCGGCGAGTAGGACTCGATGATGCCATTGGTTTGAAGTGATTCGCCGGAAATCAAAGAGAAAATGGAGAAGATGACCGGATTTTGACCAAACTCTTTCTAGATCCAAATATTTTGACCGAAAAATTGACGGCCTTATCGGAAGAATTTTTGCTTGAAAATTTAATGGTAAAACGAGCACGAGAAGAGCTTCGCGATGACATAAAGATCTTTCCGATCGGATGAATTTTTCCGGCAGCGGGTGGCGGAGGCGGCGGCGGCCGGCGGCCGGCGAAGGTCAGGCCCTGTAGACTCGTCTCGACGAGAGGATTCCAGTGGTACTCCCGGATTTTTCATAGCCCTCACTGATCGCCGGAAAAAACTCATTTGAATGTCCAATTTTGACCAAATTTTTACTAGATCTGGAAACGTTGACTGCAAAATTGACGGGTTTCCCAGATGAATTTTCGCATCAAATTTTAAGGGGAAATTCACCTTGAGGAGATCTATCCAATGACGTAAACGATTCTTCAATCGAAGCACTTTAGCCGACAGAGTCGAAGGAGGATTTTCGTAATTTTTCGATCGGAACTCCGTTTGGCTTTTTGAACGGGTCCCACAGACGGCACCAATGAAGTGAATAAGATTTCACCCGGGCTCCTTCGACTCGGTCGGCCTCCGTACCTGCAAGAACCCAACGCCGGGAGGGGTCCCGGCGTCGGGCCTCCGACGCTCAAGTCAGTGTCACTCCAAATCCTAAGAGTATAATTATGAAATGTAGAGAGAGTGTGAGAATGGGATACCTTGACCCCATTTTATAGGAGGAATGTACCTTATGGCCCAAGTTGGGCATGTCCCATAGCATCATGCCACGTGTCCTAGCCATGTGTAGGCTTATTCTTCAATATATCCCATTTTTATCCATTAAGACTGGTCTATGAGATAATATCCTATATCAGAGTTTATGGCGGTTTTGCTGGGGTAAGTCCTATGGTTCTGTTAGCTGAGGGAGATGCTGTTCACCACTTGCTGACTTCGAGGGACCATTTCTAACTGCTGTGGAGGATTGTTGTGAAGTTTGCTGTTGCCATTTCTGGGAGATTTATCTGTGAATGTTCTTGGTGCTGGTATAATTGTTGCTTGAGTTCTGGACTGTTTAGGTTGCTTTGGCTTTGGTTGTTATATTTTGCCTTTGGGCTCTTTTTTATGTTCTTTAGTAGTTAGTGGTTTTTTTCTTTTTGGTTAGCTTGTAATAGTCTCAGACTGGTGATGCTACCACTAGGTTGTGTTGGGCAGTGGTTGTTGCTATTTTATTTTTTAAAGTCTGTCGCTTCGGCAGCAAGGCATATAGTAACAACTCATCGGTTCCCTTTGCTTTGCTAATGTCGGGAGTTGTACTTTATGCTTTCCCTTTAGTAGGTTCTAGTGCACCTTTGGTGCTACTCCGTCTTCTATTTTGAATTTGGGATGGGTTCCTTAAACCAAGTTAGTAAATTTTTTTTCGAGTTATGAAAAATTATAAAACAATCATAATATTTTTCGCGTGCGCGGGGCACCTAGTAGTATTGTATTAAGCATGTTCTATATTTCTCGTTTCCTTTTCAGCTGTTTGAAATATAACCTTCTATAACACACACACTGAGGGGTTCGCTGATCTGTGTCTTCGACATTGAGGATTGGCGTGCGTGAAAGGAAAGGGGAGCCATTCCATGTTTGAAGGTTTCTTGAATTTTTCATTGATTTATGCTATTTTTATAATTGTATCAAAGTCCATATATGCGTTTCTTATTTTGGAATTTGAGGAAAGACTGATTTTTTCTGAAGAGTTGAAAACCTATGGTTCTTTTGTTAATTTAGGGAAAGAATTACCCTCAATGAATAATTGGAAAAGATATGTGGCTCGATCTTCGAGTTTTAATCGGCTATTTATTGGAGGATTTTGTCATGCGCTTGACAAAATGATAACAAATTGAATCGCCTGATTAAAAAGATTAATTTTGTTTTTGAAGTCGCTGTTCCAGGATAGTTGGTTAAGATTGTATATTTCAGTCAAAGGATGAAAACAGGAAAGGTTATATCTGGGCTAGGTAAAGGATCCTGGAAAGATCACTATTTGTTACACTAATATTTTTCACTTTCTGAGGTTTTCAATGATGTAGCGTTTTTTAAAGAAAATCGATGACAGCTTAGAAATATCACGATTTAGAATGAAGAACAATGAGCGTCTTGCTAATTTAGCTCTGGCAGGTAAATCTTGTTCCGCATCACAGTGTTACTAGTGTGTGGGATGAAGTTAAATTCGCATGTTCTTCATACTTCCTCTGCTAAGTTCCCGGCTGCTTTCCCACTCCCAAAATATCTTTGCTTTTCATTGCCCCATGAATCAGTCTGGTATCTGTTTTATAGAGACCGTTATGACGAAATTCCAAATGCTGCCACAAATCTGCTGTGTGATGCTGTTAGGTTTCTGCACCAGCACCACGACTATGTCCTCTTCCGATATTTGTTCTGGAAGTCCTATTAGTTTTCCATAGCTATTTGTCTTAGGTTTCCAAAACTGCAGGAATCACTTGAGTAGCTATTTGGCTGAGATGTAAATAAGATTGCCGGTCTCGTTGTATCTCCTCTTATAGTTATTGGTTTTATGGGATTATGAGTGTTGTTACATAATGATTATATCTTTGTATTTATTGTTGAAACGTAGGATAAATGTTTTAAGGACTTGTCTCTCTTCTGCAAAGCATCCCTGGAAGCTTGTAGTTCGCCAAACAAGTGAGTAAGACACCTCTTCACAACTTGTACATATTCAAAACTGCAAAACAACGTCATACAAAATATGCATTTGTTTGTGACTTAGTGGTGTGTGCAAAGTGTGCTTGATGATCTTTTGTCAGAATTTTGGTTTTAACAAAGCCAATTGATGTTTCTTCTTGATCTATTAGTAGTAGGTTACTCTGATGGAGGGCTTGATGAGCACTGGGATCAAATTGAAACCAGTTCACTCTTTTGGTAGAAGGGAACAAAACTTGCTAACTCTTCCTTCATTGGCCGCACGAGTTACAGGGAGAGTCCCAATTAGTCAAATTGAGGTCTTGAGAACTTCCAGATCATTTAATCCAGTCGCTTCTTCTGTTCAACCATTGGGGGCCACAGCAATGGGCCATTTTGATAACACCTTACCTTCCAAAGGTGAAAATTTTACTTACCTCAGGCATTTTATTCCAAATTTATATACCCTCTTGCATCTATGGTTTCCTTAAATGATATTCACCAGATGGACTTCCATTTGATCAACATTTGAATTCGGATTGCTCTGATCACATCTTTTGAAACTCTTGTAGTGTCTTGTGTGGCATTGCCTTCTGTACAAGTGGTAATTGTCATGTCATGGCTACTTCTTTTTCGTCTTATTAGAGGTTCTTGATGTCTGGAGAAATGCCAATGCTGTATGCTTTGATGTGGATAGCACAGTGTGCTTGGACGAGGGGATTGATGAGCTGGCAGAATTTTGTGGAGCTGGAGAGGCTGTTGCAGAATGGACTGCCAGGTTTCATGGCTTTTCTTCTCTTTATTTTACTACTTATATTTTTTTGAGTTCCTTAGTTATGATGTAGAGTTATTCTTGATTTATTATCTCAACTTTTAACTTTTTACTTTGACTATTGTTTTGTTGACTCTGCCAGGGCAATGAGTGGTTCTGTTCCTTTTGAGAAAGCATTGGCTGCCAGGCTCTCCCTTTTTAACCCATCGTTGTCCCAATTGCAGGAGTTTCTTGAAAAGCGACCTCCAAGGTACAAATTTTAATTGTATGGGTTAATTAATGCTTTTACCCGTGCTGAAATTTTAAATAAAAGGACAAAGCATTAATATTATTATTAATTATCAATGTAAACCGAATAGTTGCTTCTATATCCATTTCTTATCATAAGTAGTATCATCTTTATTGTACCTAGAGTATATGGGTCGGGTAGGATGTGGTGTAACTTATCATGTACTCTATCAGAATAAAAGTTGAGTAGGTACAATTACTACTCTACCTGTAGTCGGGCACTATTGGAGTTTACCTTTTTTACCTATGGATAAGAACGCGCCTTCATAATTGCCATGTTTCTGAAATTTTTTGAATTGCCAAAAATATCCTACGGTATGCACGATTTATAAGAGTATTAATGTCGTTCCGTTAATATTAGGGGGTCACAATAGATATTATTAGTTTTCAAAGCTTCATTTTTTTAATTTGTTTTTGCTCATTCTTCTTTTTTTATTGTATTGATTGATCTTTGGTTTTCTCCAGCTTTTGTTCGAGAAATGATTTTTGAAATAATTACAGTTAAGAGAAAAGACCAAGTTTATCTACACAAATGTATAAATTTTAATTAAAACAATAAAAAATAATCTACTCATAGTTTGATAAAGGAAAAATGAAAAATTAGTAAAATTTATCCTAAATTTCAAATATATATATTTTTTAAATTCATCTTTATTGGTTAATGCATGGTTCATTATTGTTATTATTAGTTCTATGATATCATTAAAATTTTGGATCAAATATTTATATATTAAGTAGCTTACATTTTATTTAATAAAAGAATAATTATAATTTGAAAGACAATTTGTGCAACTACGATACCAATTTTAAAGAAACCAATTCAATTTCTTAAAGTTTTCTTATTCGGTATTATTAGTTACGAGCTGGCTATTCAAAAATATTTTTTAAACATAAAAGAATAAATTGCTTATAGATTAATTTCATTTACATATGTTCTGTTCTCATATATGTTTTGAGT